GTGTGTGTGTGTGCGTGTGTGTTGTCCCTGCTGCATCATAACATCAAAGAGTGTCTTGACAGACGGCCGTCACTCGACCGTGTGGTCGACTGTCGCCTGTACTTTGATTCTGCGTGTCCAATCAGAGAGAAAGAGCGAGCTCTGTGATTGGCTGTGCTCTTGATGGATGAAGTCACTTATTCATCCATCAACTTCTTCAAAGACGATGAAAGGAGCCGAGCTTCTCCTCCGACCTGTGGAACAGTTGATGGTCAGACGCTCTTCTTCTTTGTTCATTTATTCTGCAGAGGAAACCTTCACGTCCACAGTTAAAATAACATAACTTATTATTTTCTGTTCATCAAATTAAACTCTAGTTCTGAGCCGCAGCAGAATCCAGGTCCGGACGCTCACATGGAAAAGTTCCTGTTTCTTTTTAAAGCAGATTCACTTCAACAGAAAAAGGTCATTTTAAAGATTGAGCATGTTGTTGGTCAGTGATGCAAGAAACTGAAATGAATTAGAAACATTAGGAAACGAGAACCTACTGCAGCTGTAAGAAACACTGGGGCTGTGTGATCTGATGGGAGGCTCCGACAGAAGCTTTTAGTTTGTAAGTTTCTTTAGAAGGAAAGTTTGGTCACTTCGCTGGTGAGTGACAGGGTTCGTTAATCGTTCTGACGAGTCCACAGGTCGAGTGGAAGGAGGGACATCGATCTACAAAGAGCTGTTTGATTCGGAAATTGATCACGAGGAATTTGAGAGAAGTGAGAAAGTGAAGGTTTGATCTTCAGCCCGTGTCCGTGCACCGCAGAGCTGCAACCAGCCGTTTCATTGGGTTTAATACAGCGGAGCACGTAAACAAATGAAGCCCAACCTCCTCTAATTACTTACTACCTCACTTTTATTTTCCAAACACAAATCTGTATTTGTTTCTAGATAATCACTGATCGTAGCAACGAAGGAGTCGGTTTTCTGTGTTGATTTCCTTCATCAGCATGAAGTTTGTTCTCTGAGTCCATCACACACTGTCCTCGTGTCCCACTGAACAGGAAACTAAAGGTTCAAACCAAGAGTGGGTTCGATCTCTGTAGGATTCAGCGTGGTCAGTGGTTCTGTCAGTTACATTCAGTCTGTAGAAAATGTGTTAAAATATCTTCAGCTTGAAGGAGTTAGTTGAAAACCTCACAGAAGGTCGGAGGACTCAACAGTTCTGTGGGTGTCGCCTGTCACGGCGGCGTGAGGGTTTGATCTGCGGCCTGTGTCCGTCCGCTGGCTGCAATGAGCCATTTCATTGGGTTTAATAAAGCGGAGCGTGCCAACAACTGTCGTCTGAGCCGCGAAGCCAAACCTCCCCACGTGCTCCAGATTGGAGAATGAAAAGAAACAGACCCGCAGCCTCAGACAGCGAGGGTCCTCCTGGCCATAAGGAGTCTATTATGTTCCTGTGTCACGCAGCCATCTTTGTGCCGGCTCGCTGCCACGCTGTGGCATTTGTAAAGGCCCGGCCCGGCAGAGTGCTGGCACACGGCGCCCGGGACACGCTGCTAAATCCCATTAGAGTCAGTCCAGATGATACGAGGCTGCCAGTTACTGTCAGTCATCATCGGGGTTTAACCTCAGGGAGTCGCAACGCTTTGAATTAACCTTAAAAACAAGAAGCACTGATGAGACGTAATGAGACACAAACACTGAGACCTGCACACAGAGAAATAAAGACGCCCGGGCTGCAGACACCGTCCTCCTTCATGGAGCGGTACTCAATGAAAAGAGTTGAGAGGACAGCATGAAGGTCTCATATCACCATCCATCTCCAAGACGTCCACAAGGGGACAGAGGACGTCACAGTCAGTCTGGTGAAGTCCAGACACTTGATGAAAACAGAGATCTCGTGTTTGAAGGTTCAGAGTTCATCGACTGGGTCAGGAAACAGAAAGTGATGGAACATGAGACCAACACTGATTCAACCTCGTTAGATGTGAAGGATGATTCTGAAGTTCTATCAGGACACAGATGTTACAGATGTTACAGTTGTCAGAGAGTTGATTTAAAGGAGAAGTTATAACATGTTGATTCACAGTCCTCTGGTAAAACGTTCTCTTCTTTAACCCCCTCTCTCATGCTTCCTCTCATCCTTCCTTCCTTGCTCCCTCCCTCCTCCCTGTATCAGTCCACAGTGACGCACTGAGACGCTTCTAATCCTCTTTTGATGAACTTGGTTAATGGACGTCCTGCTGCGCACTGGCTCTGTTCATTAGGCAGCACACGACCCTCTCCACGCCCCCGGGACACGCACTGCGCGTCCCCGCGGCCACCCTGTCCATAAATCCACCCGAAGTGAGAAAGTTGACGCGTGTAACTTTGTGGAGTTTCCCACTGAACTGATCGACTTTGGTCTCTGGGGAAAGTTGACTGAGTGAAAGCGATGTCGCCGCGTAAAAGCCTGTTTGCTCCGTTCATCGCGGTGGATCCGGAGGCAGGGTCCGGCCCCGCAGCCCCGGCGGCTCTCCACGCCGACATCCACGCTCTGCTGCAGCGGAGCCGAGCGCAGGAGCGAGCGGGCGCAGAGCGCACCAGAGGCGCCTGCGACCGCAGAGAGTCTCCGTGCGCCATCGTGGAGCTGCGGCTCGGACCCGCCGGCGGCGCGCTGCACTACCTCCAGCCGGACAAGTGCGCACTGGAGCGGGCGCAGAGAAGGCGACGACTCGCTGCTAATGCCCGGGAGAGGAGGAGGATGCTGGGGTTAAATGTCGCCTTCGACCGTCTCCGGAGCGTCATCCCCAACCTGGAGAGCGAGAAGAAGCTCTCCAAATCTGAGACTCTCCAAATGGCGCAGATTTACATCGCCACCCTCAACGAGCTCCTGCAGGAGGGCGCCTGCGAGGAACCAGCACCCAGCCGCACCCCGCGGCCCCCGGGGGCCACGCTACCTTCTCACGGGACAACGGTGCTGGCGAGGGACCCATCGGGGCCCGTGAGGGACTTTCACAACGGGAAGAGCAGCGGAGGCCCGGTGCGCACAGAGCAGCTCTGATGGGGACACGAGGGACCAAGAGACATTTAAAGACTCGATGAATGTTTAAACACGTTTCTAACGCGCTGTTTGTAATGACTTCTGGACAAAGCTCTGTCTGTAATGTTTTATTTGACATGTTTTGAAGCCTTGTGTCTAAAACTTGAAATATATTTTTGCAGAAAACAAATATTATTGTGCAACATGTTTTTTCCCCCAATAACCAAACAGGTCGCACTTGAGTCGTGACTGTGAGAAACAAAACTAATTGAAGTTTTTCAATTATCTGAAAAAAAAAATGAAAAACGTATTTTCCACCCAAACTAAATAATTTTCTTTAAACCTTCGAGCAGAAGATTCTTTGAGAAATGATCTTCACCAACAACAGAGCAAGTAGAACGAGCAGGAAGTACTGAAAGTAGCAATTTTTATTACTTTAAAATTATGTACATGGTAACCAAAGACATCAGGCTGCAAGTGGGTACAAAGAAGTTTTCCTGCAGTGGGCTTGTTCAGCTCTGTCTCCAAAACAACAACACGACTGGGAGAAAGGCTTTAGAAAATGAAAAATAGAGTCAGATTCAGAAAAGTAGAGTCTACCGGTCTAAATTTTAAATTGAATCCCCTCACCCCACCACCCTCCCTCCCCCCATTTACCCATCAGTCTCTCCTCCTACACGAGGAAACAAATCTATGTACAGGAACTATTTACAAAAAGCTCTTCCATTCATTCTTCCAGACGTCTGTGAATAAAGCTCTTGTAAACTTAAGGGAGTGTGAGGGTTAAACTGTGTGTGTGTGTGTGTGTGTGTGTGTGTGTGTGTGTGTGTGTGTGAATGATCACAGATGAACAGACAAATTCAGGATCACCGTATGAACATGCTTGATGACGTTTGCTCTGAACTTTATCAGCGAGCACCGGGGGTTCGAATCTGTTCCACTCTACGAAATAAGAAAATACGAATCAACAGAAGCTTTTCTCGGGGAACAGACACAAACATTTGTTTCTCTGCTCTGATGGAAAAACACAAGAAAGAATTACAACCAAAGCTTTCAAATTCCGTTTCCTCAGAGGTGTTTTCTGTTCCATATTCATTGTACGTGTGGGAATCAAACGTTTTCTTGTTGAACGTAATGTTTGTTCTCATCTTCACCTGAAGAGCCACTGACCATTTGTTACAGTTCGATTTTCAAGTAGGATCCAACATATTTGAACGGTGGGTTTCATGTTCTAATAAGCTTTTTGATAAGTATTTATATATAGTGAATATTGGTCTCATTGATGGTTAGATAATTGTTTACAGATACTTTATAAATGAGTTAAAAGCCACGACACCAATTTCATACATGTCGCTCAGTTTTCTCGTTTTGGTTTTTGCTTTTCTCAGTGAGAAAAGTTGTCACATGTCTTCTGTGGCTCTGAAAGAATTTTTTAAAAGTGTGACAAGATAAATCCAGAGTTTTTAAAATCTCAGTCAGATACAAACTGTGGTTTTGGAGTTTCAGAGAAAAGGTCCCAGGAGGCAGAGGAGACTATTTCTGCATCTGTCCAAGTTTGACCATTTTGTTTCTAATTCATCTCATGTTTAGTGGAAAACTTATACTTTCCTCTTACTAGTTAGATTATTTAATTCAGCCGTTATTAACCTTCATAAAGTATGTTGTGTTTATTAGTGTCCTGCAGAACGAGGACATGCCAAATACTTTTTTCACGACCTGAATGTTTTGTCATCGTGTTGATGATCTAAAAAAACGAAAAGGTTTCTTAACATTAACAAACTCATCAGTAACCAGCTGAACAACGTGGAGGTGAGAATAGGAGTTGGAGAGAAAGAAGAGATGTTGGTTTTCTTTAACAGGCGTCTTTTTTCTTTTTGAGATCGAATCTGAAAATGTTTCAAACATCTAAACGTTGAAGGGGATTGAGTATTTCTTGAGTTTCCATTTTGGGCTGATGGTGAATGATTACACAGAGAGAAATTCACCCAAGAAGAAAAATACAAGACTGATTCATACGATTTCCAAATTTCCAGCAGCTTCACTCTGCTCTTGTGGTTGATGAAATGCATTCTGGGAACAACGATGCAGGAGGAGCAAAAGAAAAATCACAGCCCTTCACAGAAAAGCTCCGCTCTGCAACGTGTCCAAACTAGAGGACGATTTCTCCATAAAGTCTAACTACAAACTGAACTCTGGGATTTTTCAGCTTCTGCTCAAGTCTGTCGTTTAAAAACTACCGAGCAGGAAGGAGAGAAACGACTGAGGGGATCTTTGAAAGCCTCTCGGCTGGTGGCTCGGTTCAACACCAAAGAAAAGCAGCTCGACTCCACCTCTCGGACCGGGGGTGTCTCAGCTGCCTTTGTGTTGTAATTGAAGGCTCTTCTCCGAGAGACGTGCACACACATGGGCGGTAATTGAAAGGAGCTGACGGAGGACAGGTTCTGGTCTGGAGGGCTCCAGTCCCGCCGAGACACAAAGATTGGCTGGTGAGCAGGAGGGTGATTGATTCTGAGAGAAAGTTACTACTTTCGGTAAAGGTGGGGGTCATTCAAAGTTTCCAGGGAGTTTTAACAACCTCGAGGGTCCATCTGTTTCACTCTCAGGTGTTTGTTGTGTGCGGACTGACTGGAGTGTGCTCGGCATGATGGGAGGACTTTGTTTTGATGACTGAACAAGGAGAACAACCACTTCAAATTCAACTAGTCTGTCGCTGAAGAGTGAAGAAAAGCTCTTACTTCCAGAGATGGAAAATGTCAGGTTTTATAAAGGGAAACTCATGCAAACATTTACAGGCTTAAAACACCCCCGAGCCTCTCAGAGGCCTGAAACTCAGGGCCTCAAGTCTGGACGTTTCTTTGCTCTTTGGCCAGAAAAGATCAATACTCCACTCTGTCAGCGTCCTTCACACAGAGTCTTGTCAAAGTGGAAGAAAGAGGAGGTGGAACACAGTGAGAATGAGAAGAGGTGACTGGGGATGAGTCAAGGTCGTCAGTTTCAAAGCACAGAACCAAAGTGATCATTGTGGTCAGTAGCTTTCTTTACTACTAGAGTTGTTTTGGCGATTACCGACTCCAGAGGCAGAGCTCAGGGGCGTGAGGCTTCGATGACAGGCCACAGAAAATGACAGCTTGGCTCCGCTCTGTCATCGATCCATACGAAGGAGGAGAGAGAGACAGGAAGTGAACTGTGAGGAAATTCATCAAAAGCAAAAACACGGAGGAGAAAAAAAACCACATCCTTCTGAGCAACTTTTACAAACAGAACAAGGGTGAAAGATAAGATATCTAACATAGTAAAGGAGGATGGGGGGGGGAGGCTGCTGACGAGGTCATCGTTCCTCATGAAGTCGTAACAAATGTTCAGGTGAAGTTAAATCAGGAACAAAAACAGGGGAACGTTCTTTCAACTGGAGGATGATGAGAACGTCTGGTGACAACAGAGAGAAGGTGACGATGAACGTGTGGTGAGAGAAATAAGAAACGCTCCAGTTTCCAGCAGTGAAAGACGATGGTGATGGTCAGTGTGTGTCTGTGTGTGTCTGTGTGTGTGTGTCTGT